TGGTGCCGGGTTGTGGATCGTTGCGTTCACCCTCGCTCATCGTCTTGCGATGATTGGCGCCTGATCGCCGACGGCGGTCCGGTTGGCGGGTGTTTCAAGGGGGTGGGGGCGGGGGGGTTGGCGGGGGGGTTGGCGGGGAGGTTATAATATTCTAAATGCATGAGACAGGGGGTAATTGAAGATGGAGAGGATCCTAGCCAAGTACCAACAACTCTATACAAGATCGGAGTGCCACATGGACACGTGGAAAGAGCTGAAGAAGCAATTCTGTAAGGAATTATCAGCGGCCTCGAGCGTGATTGGACGTCTACCTCTTCTTGCAGATGACAGCCTGTACGGCATATTTGCTGACGTTGAGGGTTTCAAGGAAAAGCTGCAGGGAAGACAATTAGACTCCTTGGAGGTAATCATGAAGGCGATGGGAGAGACCTTAGAGAGCATGGAAAGGGAGTGGAAGAGGATGGAGAAGGCATGGCAGGATGGGTGGAAATTGGTGCAGGGAGAGAGGAGCATGCCAACGGCCGTGGAAGCGTCGACACGCGTTGGACCCAGAGCAAGTATCGTAGATTGTCTGGAGGGATTGCAGGATTTGTACGTGATGCATAGAGATGAGCATGCGCTCAAGGTGGAAATAGCCAAGGCCGTCCGATACGACATGGCTGAGGAAGACCTGAATGCGCTGATGATTCTTGCGGCTGACGAACCTCACATTGATCCGAGTCATGTGAAAGTCATATTTGACCGCTTCAGTTCTAGTTTCCAATGATGCAGAAAAGAAGAGAAGGGAAAAGAAGAAAACTACTTCTCTGTCTCTGTCAGTATCTGCCTCTGTCTCTGTCTCTGTATCTGTCTGTCTCTGTCTCTCTGTCTCTGTCAGTATCTGCCTCTGTCTGTGTCTCTGTCTCTGTCTCTGTCTCTGTCTCTGTCTTTGTCTTTGTCTCGGTCTGTCTGTCTATGTCTGCCTGTCTATGTCTGCCTTTCTATGTCTGTGCCTATGTCTGCCTGTCTATGTCTGTCTCTGTGAATGGATGGTTGTCTCTTTGTATGTAGGTCTGTCTGTCGATGAGGCGGTCTGTTTCTGTTTGTCGCCCTGTCTGTCTTGTCTGTTTGTGTATCGCTTTCTCTCTCTGGGTTTCTGTGCAGCTAAATTGAGCTAATTAATTTTGGATCAATTTAGATCTCTCTCTCTCTCTCTCTCTCTCTCTCTCTCTCTCTCTCTCTCTCTCTCTCTCTCTCTCTCTCTCT